AGTGGGTGGGGCCATACGCTCGTCTCGTCGCGCCATATTTGGACGGTGGGTCACTGTACCAGTCATCACCGCCTGGTGGTGCTGTCTTTTCTACGTAGCGTGGCGCAGGGATGGCATCTATCCGGAATGAGGAGATAGAGTGTCGGAGTAGAGGTAGCTGTGCAGTTGAGGCGCGATCCAGTGGCGGCGGCGAAAATGGTGGCGCTTCTCGTAGCTCACAGCACGCCCTCTCGATCGGACTAGGGTTAGGACGTTAGTGAGGCGCTGGCGACTGCAATGAACCTCGTATCTCGAGCCCCAGCCCCCACCTCCTATTCATAGTGCTGCGCGACGGGGGGCCACTAGTCAGGAGAACGGCTGAGCGCCCCCGATTAGGGCGCGAGTCAGGGTCCGACTCGGTCGTTGGACCGAGCCGGGTGGAGATCAATCTAACATTCTCCCCATTGATCTCACCTTACGACTTAAAACTTAGTTCACTTTGTCTTTTTCCCCCATTCCATCACATATTAGTACATAGAGCATGCCTCGTCATAACAGTTGGTACTATTAGACTAATAGCTACAATACACCTTTCTGTTTTGAAATAGATTCTCAACTAGGCCCTTAGTATCCAGAAATCATAGGCTTTCCTGTAAACCCATGTCGACTGTGTGTTCTCTGAACGCACTAGGTGGTAAGCCTTTGGTAAGCGGATCCGCAAGTACTTACTCGGTACTTATATGCTCAATGCTTTCAAAATGATTCTGGATTTTCTCCTTTACAACATGTAACTTAATGTCAATATATTTGGCAACACACTTGACCTGTTGTCATAGGAGTGATTTGCTTTAAATGGTTATTGCTGTTGTCTACCATTATTAATTCCGGGTACAAAATTTCCTTAACCACTTTTGCCTGTCCCTGAAGCCTCATACCAAGCTATATTATGGTATACGTCATTGATGATACCACAACTGTTTCTTTGCAGCTTTTCCACAATAATACTCCAACTACGAGTGTTAGCAACTACTGTGGATTTCACTACACATCTCGCCAAGGTTTAACATTTGTACCCACAACTATTTGAGAGTACTTGTTCTTTCTTACTCAGCATGAGGCCTATAATACTTTGCAAAATTGCAACACATTCTTAACTCTATTCTAGTAATCTATATCTAGACTGGACTTCTGCCAAAACATCCCGGATACGTGAGCTACGTCAGGGTAAGTTCTTACTTGTACACTCATTAAGCTTTCAACAGCTGAAGCATATGGAACCAAGTTCATTTGATCGATCTCATATTGGTTCCTAGAACACTGAAGGTTCCCAAATCTATTACCCTTGACTTTAGACGTAGGCATCCCGCCTTCCTTTAACCCCAATCGAAGAGTTTGCCCCTGCCGCCAGCACCGCCCATCTGGTTGTCTCCCACCGCCCGCTTGGCAGCGCCGCTGTCGTCTGGTCCGCCACCCCTCCGCCACCATCACTTGTCTAGTCGCCTCCGTCGGACCCTTCCCTTTCTAATCCCGCTAGCCATGGAAGACTCCCCTAAAAATCCAAAACCCTAACCACCGCCGCCGCTGCCTCCTCCACCGCCCCGGCCCGCAGCGACCTCGCCGTCGGCTGTCCCGCCCACCGCCCGCCTCCCCCCCCCCTTCGGATTTCACCAGCGGCGTCCTCGCGCGTGCGTCGCTGGGGATAGCGACACACGGGTGCCAAATAAGAATTTGGGCAGCGCACCTGCTCCTATTTGAGATCCAAATCTGTTGTCAAATACCACGTCATTCGTGTGTGATTCGTCCCTAGCAGAATGGATTGGTATGGCCCCCTTGTTTTCTTCCAAAGCTAGTTCCTCGAAGAGATTTGATAGTTTATGATAAATTAATTTCATTGTCGATGATCTTGTGAAATCACTGAGTCAGTAGTATTTTGTTGGTTGCTTGTCACAACTGATCAACCTCTTTTTTTTGTGCACTTATGTTTTGCTCTATATAGAAACTGTTATGGAAATCATGGGTTAGAAAGAATAGTTTCTACTAGATAATAATTCCTCTATTTCTTCTTTGCAAAACTATCTATGAAAACTATAGGTTGAGACTGCCCTTATGCTATGCACTTATATATGCATTATGTCTAGATAAAAAAATTATATCTAGAAAACTAAAACGTCTTATAATCTAGAATGGAGGGATACGTTTTTACTATCCAGAATCATAATTATCAATACTGTTTTCATAAACTTAGTTAAATTTAAAATAATTTGGCTTGGACCAAATCTAGAAGAACACTCTTTTTTGACAAAGGGAGTATGATTCTTCGATTATGGAATTTTATTTTCAAATTTAGAATAGAATTGGTTCCTGAATATTACCTCAAATAAGTGTGAAATTACCTGTCCTTTGTTTACTCGATACCATAAAAATCAACAACAACGGCTAGTAAAACTGGAACCAGTTCATAACAATAAACACTGTGCTTTTTGGCAAAAGAATTACAATTATATATACAAGAGAAATGTTCTCTTCCAAATTGGAATTCTGTCTCTCTCGCTCGCTCGCTCGCTTTTTTTCCGCACACATGTCGAATTCTGTCGATAGCTGAAGGAAAACCTCTGCTCGTCGAGCGAGCCGTTTGGTCGCGTCTCCACCCATCAGAGAAACCCTAATCCTCGTCCCCTCCCCCCGAAGCCGCCATCGCCATGGCGACCCCGTTCCGCCCGTCCGCGCCCGCCCCGTCCGCCAAGGGCGGCTGCGGCGGCGACCGCTGCGCCTCGGGCCGCGACGCGTGGCCGCTCCACCACTTCCGCCACGAGGGGGTCTTCTGCCTCCTCTGCTCCTCCTGCGTGCTCCTCTACAGCCCGTCCGCCTTCTGCGCCGCCTGCCTCCACATCCTCTCCTCCTCCCCCGCCGCCGCCGCCGCTTCCCCGGGCGACCCCGCCTTCGCCGCGCCCGGGCCCACCGCGCCCTGCTCCGCCTGCGGCGTCTCCGTCGCGCACCTCTCCTGCGTCCCGGGGGCGGACCGTCACCCCTTCGTCTGCCCGCCCTGCGCCGCCTCCGCCGAGGGCAGGGCCTTCTCCTTCGCGCCGGCGCCCGGCCGCCGCCCGCTCCAGGAGCGCGACGCGCGGGTCCTCCTCGTGGCCGCGCGCCTCGCGCACGACTCCGTCAGCCGCGCCGCGGCCGCCGCCCGCGAGGAGGCGGAGCGCCGCGTCGCCGCGGCCGCCGCGGCAAGGAAGCGCTCCCGCGAGATGCTCGACGCCGCCTTCCGCGCGCTCGAGGCGGAGGCCAGGGACGCCAAGATGAAGCCCGCCGCGGCCGCCCAGCCGCCAGCCCCCAAGAAGAAGCCCGAAGCCACCCTGCCCCCGCCCCCGCCCCCGCCTCCCAAGAAGAAGCCCGAGGCCAATAGGGACAAGGACAAGCTGCTCAAGCTCAACGCCATGCAGCAGCCTGCGCTGGCGTTCGCCGCGGCAGCGGCTGCTGCGGCGGCAGCCACCTCGGTGCCATTGCCGACGCCCTCATACATGGAGGAGAACAAGCCTGTCGTAAAACAGGAAGCGCAAGGTGAGCGATTTTGTTACATTGAACCACTGCAGCTGGGAAGCCAATCTGTCACTCTCTGTTCACTGATTGCTGTGAAATTCCTGCAGGTTCTGCGCCACCACCGAGGGAGGATAAGGATCGCCCCCCGCTGTTTGGGACCTTGCAATCGTGAGATTGTTGGTGCTGTAATCTGCTTCTTCATCCCCCCTATTCCATTGCGCTTCTGTGCAGCGAAACAATCCGAGGAGAAACTGAAATTTCTGAGTGTAGTGGTCTTGCAGAGTGTTAGGATCCCCATTTCAGAGTCTCCTTACCGTAAATCATATTCTTGACATGCTAGATGATCCTTCCATCCTATGGATGCTGGTCTGCATCCTGTATTCCGATTTGTTCTCTTATTCGTAGTGATGAAATGTTTTGCTGGTGGATAAATTTTGCGAGATGAAATGCAACCAGGTTCTCCAGCTTCCAAATTGTGTCGCAGATGGCTTTGGTTGTTTATCGACGGAGCTAGGCTCAGAAGACTTTGAGTGCTATGCTCTAGTCGGACAGCAGGGTTTTAGAACGACGAGCATTCCTATTGCTCATCTGTTCTTCTTGCGCTGTGGATTTGTACCAAGTGCTTGGTTGATTGGTTCATGGTGCTGTCTGCACGCGCATCTCCTTCATAATAAGTGAATTCTAAAGCTCATTGCATTGTTAAAATTGCTAAGAAAAGGGAGATTGATCGTATTCATGGAATACAATTGTGTGTGATGCAGATCTCCCACCCATTCGGTATATGCCTCTTGTACGTTTTGTTCGAGCTCATTTACAGAGATTGATGGTGTTCATGGGATGCAATTGTGCAGTCATACAGATCACCCATTTCAATGTGTCACTTGTATATTTTGTTCTGTCGAAAATTTATGTTCTTAACCTAAAGCTTGCAATCTTACACGACAGATAGAATTTACATCAGAATGGCTCCTGTCTCGTTAACCACATTCTACATGTCAATCGTTTACCAAGTTTCATTAAGAAACTTGATGGTTCATTGGCATATCATCACACTTGGAAAATTCCATTTTCCAACAGAACTCAAGTGTCAACATATCATGTATATCCCAGAACATATTACTGAAGCTGAAGTGAGGATCACCTATAAACATGTTTGCCCATAGATAAGTCAGGCACACCATGTTCATGAATAACAAAACTATGCCAGCACAACTGTAGTTTGGAAAGAATGAAGAACCAAACATTGCCAGCACAGCTGTAGTTTGGAAAGAATTGGATGAGCGACACATTATGGGCTACAATTACAACATATGCCTACATTAAAACTCAGCATTATGAAAAACTAGCAGACGCCAAAAGAGGACACGATGCACAGGCAAATCCGGAAGTTTATCTTGTCTTCACTTGTGGACTGCTCAGTATTGTTTTCATTGATCTCTATTTTGTTCATGACATGGTTCACTGTTGCAAGGTTTATAATCTAGTTATGCGCCAAATGAAGCAATGGCGTCCATCTCTTCTTGAAGCACTAGTGCATCAACGAATACGTCCAGGCTCTCCCCCTCCATGACATCTGCTATGGAGTGGTGTGTGATTCCAACACGATGATCGGTGACACGGCCCTGTGGAAAGTTGTATGTTCTGATTCGCTCAGACCTGTCACCACTTCCAATCTGCTAAAAAGTTAGGCCCAGGAAGGCAGTAGTTAACAACTTAACATGTGAGATAGAAATTTCGATTTTAGATTACCTGTTCTGATCGAAGCTTTGATCGGTCCATATGGAGTCTATGCCTCTCCAACTCATACAGTCGCGCTCGGAGAACTTTCAGAGCTTTGGCCTTGTTCTATAAGGATAAATTAGCATGTTAGTTTCTTTATAATGGGCAGGACTTGAGCAGACTCAGTTCATTGGACTTGAAAGCTACGAATAATGCGATTGTACTAATGACAACAAGGCTATGAAACATGAGTGAAAAAGCATGAAATTGAGCACTAGGAACTACTGCTTTCCAGGTTTTAAAAGGGAAACCCAAAGATATGGCATTTAATGTGCACATAAAAAAAAATCTTTCATGAATTTTGTAAAACCGAGACCTTTACCATGTGCTGTGATCTCTCATCTTGGATTGCAACCACTGTTCCGGTTGGAATATGAGTTATCCTAACAGCACTATCGGTTGTATTAACAGACTGACCTCCAGAGCCACCTGATCTGTAGGTATCAATTCTCAGGTCCTCATTCCGCAGCTGGACATCAACCTGCATTTTCAGAAGAAACGATTTTATAACTGTTAGTCATGCCATAACTTGTCCAGATGAACAAACTTGAGAGGAACATGCCAAAAAAAAAAGCTATATCGAATCGCAACCTCATCAGCTTGCGGAAGAACAGCAACTGATACAGCACTAGTGTGCACTCGTCCAGATTTCTCAGTCACTGGCACACGCTGCCATGAGTAGACAGGTCAAATTATAAAATGTCTAAGTAGGTTAATATGATTGATATGGTAAGTGGGTCCGTTATTGTACCTGAACTCTATGAATGCCACTCTCAAACTTTAGTTTGCCAAACGCCCCAGGACCTGATATAGTTCCACTAGCTTCCTTCATACAAATGAATAACGAAAGGAAATATATGAATTAAGAGTTTGAGAGCTTCCAAATCTTAAAATGGTGACGATATCTTGGCTACATTGAAAAACCATGTGCACGTATCCAAACAAAAGTTGGGAAACACTAACAAAGGTTGTACCTTGTATCCTTTCACAGCAGACTCCATTATGTCAATGACATCAAATTTCCACCCATTCTTCTGGGCATATTTCTCGTACCTATAACATAGAAGAATCTGAGTTTAGCAACATTGATTGAGGATCACATACATTAGCTGCAGAGCAAGATAACAGACATTCTAAATATATCCATTGCAAACAAAGATGCCTCTTCTCCTCCAGTTCCTGCAAATACGACACCACGTCAATCACTTGTAGCCCAATAACAGAGTGAAACTGAAAGGTGAATTGTGCTCATGTGTATGCAAGGCAAGATCTGGTTTACCTGCCCGCACCTCCAATATACAATCCCTTTCATCTGCTTCATCTTTTGGAAGCAATGACATAAACAGCTCATTCTGCAGCCGTTTCTCCTCCTCAACAGCCTCAAGAAGCTCCTCTGCTGCCATCTCACGCATGTCTTTCTCTTCACGAGCATTTGTCACCAAAGATTTAAGACCCTCAATTTCCTACAATACAAACATATATAGACTCCTCTGGATCCTCAATAGTTCATACAATAGGTTGCATCTTGCAAAAATGTAACCGGATCACAACCTCCTGTTTCGACCTCAGCTCCTTGATCAACTCCATGGTGCTCTCCAGCTTGCGGAACTCCTTGTTAGCCCTCGAGTACTCTTCGGGCGAGGCGGCTGGCTGTCTTCATTAACACCAACTCACATCAAGGCTATTGCAGCTAGTCTATCTTAAAATTCTCGCACAGTGATAAGCCGTTCCGCTCTTGTTCATAACTGAAATCATCAAAGAGAAGCTTGCCCATCTGAAATTACCTGGTTGATTTGTTCCTGGAGGTACGCGCTCCTCTGCTCGATCAACTTCATTCTCTGCTCCATGATCCCCACTAGGTTCGCAGGCAACTGCTGGCTCATCTCTGATGCAAAAAAAAAAAGGGGGACTGAAACAAGATTTCCAGAGCGTTCTGTTCTTCTTGAAGCATTAAAAAAAAATAGCCAAGTTATCAAGTGATACACAGCGAACCATACTATCGCGCGCGAACTCAAAGCTGAAGGAGGGGACGAAGCAAGGAGGGAGAGGAGAGGTGCTCAGTGCTCACCGGCGGTGGAGTAGAGTCGTGGAGGAGGGCAGGGGCGAATCCAGGCCGCAGGAGGCGACGCTGCGGCAGAGGAAGCGTTGTGGCGGAGCCGTCGTAGGGCCGCGAGGGCGCCGCCGCCGCATCGGCGTAGGTGATGCTGCATCGCGGCGGCGGGCAGGCGGCGGCGGAAGTGTGACTACCGGTGCTTGTTGCCTTCGGGTTCGGTCGTTTGAGTAAAAGAGCTAGAAAGCGCCTCTTACATGATGTTTACGTACTTCACAAATTCCGCCTTCTGTTGAGCTTACGACGTATATGGAGGTATTTCTAGTGTTATAGTCATGGTTTTTGTGTTAAATAAAAGGGAAAATTCATTTTATGGCCCAAATAGTATAATTTGCCGTTTGACTAACAAACCTTTGGCTCATTTTACTCAATTGTTTGAAACTAATCTCTCGAATGAAATTAGTCCCTTTTTTTGTTTTGTTTCTCCTCATATAGTTGAAGTTTAAGTTCAATTTTACGATGACAGATGGCATATTGTCATTATTACAAAAATATACACATGTTCTTTTTTTTATTTTTATATGTTAGGAGCAGTGTTATCTGGTCATTCGATTAATCACGATAATCGCCCTGATCGGTATCTAGCACTTTAGAAACCTGGTTGTCCGATTAATCGTCGACTAGTCGCGATTAATCATCCAACTAGGTGCCCTGATCGACTAGACATCAAATAGGCAGGTGGGCTGCTTCAGCTTACTGGGCTAGCTCTATTCGGTCCAAGTCCATTAGGGTTTCTCATCTATACCTCTCCCACTCTTTCACTCACCTCAGTCCTCACCCTGTAGCTTGTAGCCTTTAGTTGTCGACTGCAAAGTTGTTACGTGTGTAGCTGGATCTCTTCCCGTCCTCCATCCTCCCTCCCCTCCTCCCTTCCGGTTCTTAGCTGTCTGTCCCTACATCTTCCATGCTACTTCCTCATCCCTCCTATTGGCCTTTTGCTTCCTCCTCCCTCATGCAGTCATGTTGCCTTCTCCTACCTCCTGCTGCAGGGTCAAGGGAAGGTCGTGGGCGCGCATGCCACAAGGAAGATCGCCGATTCTCTTCCCTAATTGCAGGTTGCAGGTCCAAGGGAGCACAAAAATGAGCTCCTCCTTTGAAGCTGAGTCATTCATTACTAGGTCACACTCACACCTCTATCGTCTCTTGTCCTCTGCACTCTGCTTAAAGTTTGATGTTCTGTTTCTTCATAGAACTTGTGTAGATGAAAATCAAATGCATCAACATGTAGTGGAAGTCATCATGCCTGAGCCTAACCTTGAAGGAGAAGGAGGTGCTGGTGCAAGCTCATCAGTTGCATGAATCTCCAGATGTTGCATCCCTTGTAGAAAAGGCTATAGCAGCACTGCCTCCAGAACTTGCTGCCCAAGAGGAAGGCTCGATCTCAAGACCCAGGATGGAAGTATGGGTGAAAGCTCTAGTTTGGTTTTGGTAAATTGATGAAACCCTAACTGCTAACTTAGTTTATCAAAGTGATTATGGGATAGGTGGCACATTCCAAGTGGTGGAGCAAATGAAGACTATGACATGATGATGGTGATGCCATAGTGATGATCAAGTGCTTGGACTTGAAAAGAAGAAAGAGAAAAACAAAAGGCTCCAGGCAAAGGTATAAGTGGTAGGAGCTATTTTGTTTTAGTGATCGAGACACTTAGAAAGTGTGATCACATTTAGGATCGATAGCCGTACTATTAAGAGGGGTGAAGCTCATATCGAAATACGGTTATCAAAGTGCCACTATATGTTCTAACTCATTGCATATGCATTTAGGATCTAGTGGAGAGCTAACACCCTTGAAAATGTTTATGAAAATATGCTAACACACATGCACAAAGGTGATACATATTGTGTTTAGCACTTGGGAGCAAGGGTTCAAAACTTCACCGGTGGAGTGTCCACCCGTAGAGTGTGGATAGTCCGATAGTACCACCGGCGCCCTGTACAGAAAAGATAGGGTTTCACAGAGTGCACCGGACGCTGGTCTCAACTGGACCGGAGCGTCCGGTCAGTGGAAGCAGTGAAGACGCTGGCGTCGGTCTTTGACCGGACGCTAGGTCACTTTATGACCGGACGCTGGCGGGGTGCGTCTGGTCCTGCTAACGTGGCAGCGCACAGAGGAGACAGTGAGTGACCAGACATTGGGTGAGTCCGGTTAGGCAAGACTGAACGCGTCTGGTCGTGAGTGGAGGCTTACTAGAAGTGACCAGACGCTGAGGTCCTGCGTCCGGTCATGATCATACTGACGTGTCCGGTCGCAGCTAGAACCTTACTGGAAGTGACCGGACGCTGGGGTCCTGCGTCCGATCGTGGCACTGTGCTGTGTTCAGTCATCACTTGACCGTTGGGATCGGGCGCTCAGTATTTGAAAAGAGGGATGACGTGGCAGCCATCCGTTGACCGGACGCTGGCAGGGTGCATCCGGTCGATCTGACCGGAGCGTCCGGTCACCCCGAGTTGTGCCCAGTGAAGGAGTACAACGGCTCTATTTCATGGGGGCTTCTATTTAAGCCCCATTGCTGGCTCTAGCTCACTCTCTTGGCCATTTGCATTGACATTGCAACCTTGTGAGCTTAGCCAAAGCCCTTCCACTCATCTCCATCATAGATTCAACATCTTTGAGTGATTGGGAGTAAATCCAAGTGCATTGCTTGAGTGCTTGCATCTAGAGGCACTTGGTGTTCGTGTTTCGCTGCGGGATTCGCTTGTTACATTTGGTGGTTGCCGCCACCTAGATGGCTTGGAGCAGCAAGGATTGTCGAGCAGAGGTTGATGATTGTCTCCGGCTCCGATCGTGGTGATTGTGAGGGGTTCTTGACCTTTCCCCGGTGGAGAACCAAAAGGTACTCTAGTGAATTGCTCGTGGCTTGTGTGATCCTCATCTTATGTTGGTTGTGCGGCACCCTATTGAGGGTTTGACGTGTGATGCCAATTAGCACGTGAACCTCCAAGTGGGTGAATCACCACAACGAGGACTAACTTGTCGGCAAGCAAGTGAACCTCGATAAAAAATCATTGTGTCATCATTTGATTCTGAGGTGATTAGTCTTTATTGGTATTCATTCTTGTGATTGATTGGTTCACTCCTCGACTTGGTGGTATAACCATCTTGCTCACTCTCTCTACATTACCACAAACTAGTTATCAAGCTATTTGGTGTAGCTAGTTGTGAGAGCTTGTTAGTTTGGTTAGTGTGGCTCTTTAGTTAGCCTTTGAGAGCACACTAACTCAGTGTAGTGACTTAGCTATTATGTGGATAGAAATTATATAAACTAGAATTGTGGTAGGTGGCTTGCAATTTTAGTAGGCTAGCGCAACATTTGCTTCGCCTCATAATTGTCTAACCGGTTTGCTAAGTGTTGTTGTAGAAATTTTTAATAGACTATTCACCCCCCTTAGCCATTAGGACCTTTCAAGTGGTATCAGAGCTGAGGTCACCATGATTTGAGGCTTAACAACCTTCGGTAAAAATAGCTCAAATCAACAACACCAAGAAGCCACCCCAATTTGATGGCTCAAACTATCTCTATTGGAAGGCTAAGATGACAACTTATATCAAGTCAATCAATAGGAAGGTTTGGAAGGTGGTAGAGACCAAGATTGAGATTGATGATGAAGAGGCTCCCACCGTCGCCGAAGAAATGCTACTCCAAAATAATGACATTGCTCTTAGTGCCATCCATGATGCTTTGGATGAGAGAATATTTGAACAAATCCAGAACATTGAGAGAGCTCATGATGCATGGAAGAAATTAGAGGAATCATTTGAGGGCACTCAAGCCGTGAAGGGTGCAAAAGCATATATTCTCGAAGAGAAGTTTGCAAGCTTGAAGATGAAGGAGGATGAGAGTGTGCCGGAGATGTTCCATAGGCTTCAAGTGCTTGTCAATGATCTCAAAGCACTTAGAGAAGATGTGAAGGATAAGGACTTCTCCCACAAGTTCTTGAGATGCTTGCCTTCAAGATTTGGCATATTGGTCACTATTCTAGTGAGGAGTGGTTTGGACACCATGACACCAAACCAAGTGTTGGGAGATATAATGACCGATGATACATATAGAGATAATGATGAGAAGGAAGAAAAGAAGGAGAAGAAAGATGAGAAGAAGGATGAGAAGAAGAAGAGCGTGGCATTCAAGGCCACATCATCCAAGGGCAAGGCAAAGCAAGATACATCAAGTGAAGATGATGGCTCATGGGATGATAATGATGACGAGAATATGGCTCTCTTTGTCAAGAGATTTGGCAAGTTCATGATGAAGAAGGGCTACCGTGCTAGAAGGAAGAAATCTTCATCCAAGAACAAGGAAGAGTCAAGAAGGTGCTTCAATTGTGGAAGTAAAAATCATCTTGTTGTTCAATGCCCATACAATAGTGACAAAGATGATGACAAGAAGAATAAGAAGAAGGACAAGAAGGAAAAGAAAGAGAAGAAGGACTATATAAACTAGAATTGTGGTAGGTGGCTTGCAATTTTAGTATGCTAGCGCAACACTTGCTTCGCCTCATAATTGTCTAACCGGTTTGCTAAGTGTTGTTGTAGAAATTTTTAATAGACTATTCACCCCTTCTAGCCATTAGGACCTTTCAATGGGTGGTGGCCAGATCCGACAAATAAGGACTTTTTAGTGCATTTTTAAAAGGTGGTCCCTGCAGAAATCATACGGTTCAAGCAGCACCTTGCTAGGGTTATGGGGATGTAGAGAAGTGAAAACAACCTGAGACAGTTAGGCAAGAGATATGGCAATTTGCTTGAAGAAGCATACAAGGACTATATTCGTGAGACTTCCTGAAGATGGTGAACAAGTTACTGAACAAGAACAAGAAACAAATGAAGAAGATCAAGTTACTGAAGTTTTTTTTTTTGCGATTCAAGTTACTGAAGTTGAACTAGCAAAAGTACCAAGTTCTGGGACAAGAATCAAGAAAGCACAATCACAAGCAAAGAAGAGAACAGCTCAAGCTACCATCACTTCCTTTGTGGTTGCTGGTCAAACTAACGCATCAGCTCAAAAGAACACCAACACCAAGCCGTTAGTTCCATGCTTTGTAGGGCATCAAAACAAGTAGTTGCATAAATGCATAAATCCAAGACTTCTCAGCCCA